CAAGAAGTTACTAGTTTAATTAAAAAATATAAATTAAAATCAAATTTAAATATATTGGAATTATTAAATGAATATGTTGAGAATGTTACTAGTGAATTCATGTGGGGTTATAGTATTATATCAAAATATCATATTGATTTTTTAGATAAAGATTATAAATCAAAAAGCTTATCTATTATACGGGCTTTAAATCAGGCATTTTATGATGTTTTTACATATAAAAATAGTAATTTATTATATATACCAATAACAAAAGAATCACGACGAATTTTAAATAATATTATACAAATACATAAGAGTTTTAAAGAAATAACCCAAGATTTGATTGATAATTTCTGCGGAAAAAATTTAATTAAAGATATGGTTAATAAGAATCTTCAATTGAATATTTCATTAGAAAAATTATATGATGATCTTATTATAACAACATCATCAGGATTAAATATAGTTAAATTAACGATTATATCAATTATTTGGCATTTATATGAAGAGAAAAATAGAAAATAGCGTAATATACTTTATGATGAAGTTAAAATTTTAAATGAAGATGGCTTTGATTATACAGAATTGACAAATCTTTCGAATTTTAATGTGTTTATATTTGAGGTGATACGGTATGAGTTATTTTTTTCATTTTTAAATAATTATGTAATTAAAGATTTTGAAGTAGTTATTGGTGAAAAAGTTTACAAATTAAAAAAAGGAACTTATATAATATCAAATATTTATGTGGTTTATCATGAAAAAGATTCTTTGTTAAAATTCGATCCTTCTAGAATTTTAAATAAGAATAATAATTTATGTTTCATACCTTTTGGTAATGGTGGGCGTAGCTGTCCAGAGAAATTAATTGGTTTATCTATAGTGAAAATTTTTATGGCTAATTTTTTGATTAATAATTTAGAATACGAGATTTTAACAAAAGATAAAGAAAAACCAAATTTTGGATTATGAAGCACTTTTAGTTTTGATATTTATTCTAAAATCGAATAATTTATATTTATTATTAATTTATTATAATTATTTATATATTATAATTATTTATATATTATAATTATTTATATATTATAATTATTTATATATTTTAAATTTATATTTAAATAAATGAATGATTAAATTTTTTTAAACCAATTATAACAATTTAAACATAAATCTAATGTATGTTCTTCTAATTTGATATTGTTATATATAATTGAATATCTATCACAATCTTTTAAACATTTATTATTGAGACATTTAAAATTATCAGGATTTAAATGTTTAATAAAACGATCAACAAAAGTAAAATTTTTATATTTCATACATGTTTGTTTTAACCAAAAATCAGTAATTTTTTCACAATTTACAAGATAAAAAATTTCTTTGAATACATATCTTTGATATTTTGGTAGCTGTATGTAATATGTTCCATCTTCAAATTCATCTTTATTTTTTTTAATTTTTTTTTTGTAATGTTTTGGTTTTCCTTCTTCTTTATTCAATTTAAAATTAAAAGAAATCCAAACATTATTTGAATGAATAGATTTAATAGAGATTTTATTTTTTATTTTGATTTTATAAGGAATGAATTGAATCAAATTGTTTCTGATGTAAGAATTAATTTTTTTTATTAAATGGTATCTTATTTTAGGTAGATACACAATACAGATATTGTTCCAATGTTGGCACACGAGTCTAATTTGTATATATTCAATATGATCGAACAGGGTTATCCCATCCGAAAAAATAAATTTGAAGATTATAATTAACAATTCGATTGGAAGATGATTCAGATTCATTTTGAAAATTAGATTTTTTTATAAAATTTGATATTTTTTATAGGAAATGATCTAGTTATGAATTTTAAAATTTAAGAAATCATATCATATAAAATACAAATTAGAATATAATATATTATTAATTAGATAATATAAAATACATGTTTTTATTATTTGGTTAATGCAATCATGGAGTTTGCTGTTTATTGTAACAAGTGTAAAATTCTTGATAATCACAAGACTATTTTTTGTCAAAAAACTCAATATCGTTACTGTAAACAGTTTGGTCATATCAATGTATTTTGTCCAAATTTATCTTGTTATCTTTGTCATATAGATGGTCACACACAAAGAACTTGTTTTGAAAACAAATTTAAGCCTAAAAAATTTAAATGTAAAGTTTGTAATAGATATAGTGATAAGGAATTTTGTAATGATATTCACATGATTGCTTTCTTGGCTCACAAAAAGGATTTTCAATTTATGTGGGATTATATAAAGTATTTATCCAAATTTTTTTGCCATTTTAAGAATGATTTACAAAATTAAAGAAATGTATTATTTTAATGTTTCGTTTGAGAAATTACAAAAAAAACAAGAGATGGATTGTTTATATCATGTTGGTGTTAACAATGTTTACACTTTTAAAGAAGTTTATGATTCTTTAGGAATAGATTTATTTAATCTTTGCGTAGAATGCTGTAATGTTATTAGTAATCAAAAATTAGTTTGTAATACTTGTGAAATCAAGAAGCTTTTTGAGAATCTTAGAATTAAACAGTATAGAATAGAAACAAATAGTACAATTATTAATTCTCAATTAAAAAGACATATGTAATAGTTTCGTATACAGATTAAATTTATTTATTTTGGTATTTTGCTTATGTTTTGTGTATTGAGATTTTTTATTTAAGCATGAAAATTTGAAATTTTTTTTGATTAAATTTTAATTTAATTCATAATTAATAAACAAAATAGAAATTAATTTATTTCTTTTTAAAAAAAAATTAGAATGTTTTCAACCAAATTGTAATTTCGAATATAAAATCGATAAAAAATATCTTTATAATTTTCTATCAAATAATAATTCAATCATAAAAGAATATGCAAATGTTTTGATAAAATATTATTTAAAAGAATATAATATTTAATATCAAGAATTTAAAGATCATGTTATTTTTAAAAATACAAATCATTATATAACTAATAGATTATATTTTGATAATAATGACAATATTCGATTAGTGTTTAATAGTATTAAAAAATCAGGAAGAAAGCCAAAAGAGTTAAGTGGTGATGAAAAAAAAAATAAAAATTTAATAGCTCAAAGACAACATCGGGATAAAATACAAAAATACTTGAATCTATTAGAAGAATGACATCAAATACATAAAAATGAAATTTATGTATTGAAAGAAGAGTTAGAAAAATCGAAATTGGATAATGAATGTATGCAAAAAGAATTAGAAGATCTTCGAAAACAAGTTAAAGATTTAGAAAGAAGTAATGAAATATTAAATAACAAAAATCAAAATTTAAACGAAACATTAACCGAGTCGAATGAAGAAGTAGAAAAACTCGATAAAGATTTAAAAGATTATCAAGATGCTAATGATGAGTATGTTAATTATAATAAGGAAATGATGACAGTAATCGAAGAATTGAAAAATCAAATTAAAAAACGTGATGAAGAATTAGAAAAAGTAGGAGAAGAAAGAGATCGATATAAAATCGAAAATAAAGAGTTAAGAAAATGAATTAACGAAAATGTTATGAATAACAAAGTTTTTGAAGAAAATATTAGATTAATGAATAACAAAGTTTTTGAAGAAAATATTGGACTAATAAACATTGATGAAACCATTAACCAAGATTGGAAAATATTTTCAAATGAAGGATTAGATTTTAAACCAGTTACTTTTGAACATAATAGTTATTTTAATAATATTGAAATTGTTAATGAACCAGATTTGTTAAATACTTCATTAAATATTAGTAATTCAAATATTGGTTTTTCAAATATTGGTGAAATTGATTTTGAAGAATTTACTAAAATGATGAGGATGGTGAATAGAATGAATAGTGATTTATTTTAATTATAAATTATTTTATTAATTTATCATCTATTTATATTTATTTTTTTTCATATTTATCAAACTGTACTTTTTTTATTTTTATTTTTTCTTATTTTAACATGAATAAACGAAAAATTGAACATAAACTTAAAAGTGAAATTATTAAAAAAGTCAAAACTCAAGATATGAACTTAACAAAAAAAAACAATAACAATAAAATAAAAAAAGTCAAAATTGAAAATGTAAACTTAACAGAAGAGCAAAAAAATGTGGTTGATATAGTTTTAAAAGATGAATCGATTTTTTATATGGGTTCTGCTGGAGTTGGAAAGAGTTATTTGTTGAAATATCTTATTAAAGAATTAAAATTAAAATTTCAAGAAAAATATAATGTTGCGGTAATAGCTAGCACTTCGATTGCAGCATTGAATATTGGTAGTATAACTATACATAATTATTCCAATATCGGTATTATGAATAGGAGTAAGGATGATATTATTAATAAAATAAAAGGTAATACTTTTTTCAAAAATCAGATATTTTTTACCAAGGTGTTAATTATTGATGAGATATCCATGTTAAATTATGATGCGTTTGATTTGATAAATAAAATTTTACAAAAAATTTGTGGAAATCAAGACCCGTTTGGAGGTATACAGTTAATTGTAACAGATGATTTTTTTCAATTACTGCCTATTCCAAATAAAGGAGATAAGAGAAGACCTTATGATTTGTACGTTTTTTTAAGTAAAATCTGGAATCAAACATTCCAACAACATATACTTTTAAAACAAGTTATTAGACAATCAGACGAGTTTGTGATAAACGGATTAAACAAATTAAGATTAGGAATTTTTGAACCAGATTTCTTAAAATACATTAAGGATTGGAATGGGAATTGATTTGTGAAAAGATCATTGATTACTTTACTGAAGATGATGACAAATTTAAATGTAACTTATGTGAAGAAATTATTCATATCAGAAATTGTGGGGCTTTGAAAAGGCATTTTAGAAATAATCATGATGGAATTATTAAAAATTATGATGATAAATACGAACCAATGATCTTATTTTCTGATAAGAAATCTGCAAAATTGCATAATTATAATATATTATATTCTTTAAAAGGAAAAAGAATTTTAGAATTTTATTCAAATAATTGGAGTGTAGCTGAAGATAAAAAAAAGAATTTTGATTTACCTTCACATGAGCAGTTGATCAAATATTTAGATAAGAAAGTTTTAGCTGAAGAACTTTTATATTTAAAAGTTGACGTAAAAGTTATTTCTATTTTTAATGATAAAAACAATAATGGTATTGTAAATGGTACTTTTGGTGTTGTTGTTGGATTTAGATCAAAGAATTATAAAAAGATTTATGGAAGAGATAGAACTAAAATTCCGGATTTCATAAATACACAAGATTTAGATCCTGTAGTTAAATTTGATAATATTGAAGATGAGATAGTATTGAAACAGAAAAAGTTTTTATATAATAATTCCGAAGGTACAGTAATAGCATGGAGATCGCAGTACCCAATAATATCTGCTTCTGCTATTACTATATATAAGTCTTAGGGTTTATTATTACATTACATGATAATCGATTTTAATAAAAATTTTCAATCTGAACAACTGTATGTTGCATTATCACGAGCAACCGATTTTAAAAAGATTCAGGTTAAAAATTTTAATGAAAAAAACTAAAGGCAAATAATGTAGTTATAGATTTCTATAAAGAAAAATTTAATATATAATTGATTATTAATATTTGTATTTATTTTTATTAATATATTTTATATAAATAAATCTAATGTTTATTATTTAAATTTAAACAAGATAATAAGAGATAAATATGCGATTTATTGTTGAAATTAACGAATTTTATGATTCGATCATGTCTTATTCTTTTACTTTAAAAGTTTTCGTTTTTCAAAAACAAATGATCTATCTTGATTATTTTGATAAGGAATTTGAAGTTATCGATATGAAAACTTTAAAAAAAAATGAGAATTGTGCTTGGGATGAAAAAACTTATCATATTATTGATAAAGAAGTAAAATATGAAGTTCTTTATAAAAAACAAGTTATTTGTTATATCAAAGAAGGAAAATTAATGAT